CAATACTGGCTTTTGGGACTTCATCTATAAAACTCTTTGATTACATCAATTACATTTTCCTCCCTGTGTCTGTTTTACTTGGTATTGTTGGAAACTCACTAACTGTCCTAGTAATGCGCACTGATCGTTTTTCTGGTTCCCCGTTTTCCTGCCTGCTAATTGTCCTAGCTCTATCCGATTTAATTGCTCTCCTTTCTCAACCTTTTAACAAAGCCTTTATCATTGATTTGATTGGACAGGATATCAGAGCTATACATGATATAACTTGTAAATTGTACATTGTTACTCGACGTACCTCGAAGATGATGTCATCATGGATGGTTGTTGGCCTTTGTTTAGAGCGATTTATTGCCGTGTGGTTTCCCCTGAAAGCCAAATCTGTTATTTCTAAACGACTGGTATTGGTTCTTATCATGTCAATGTTTGTGATAATCGTTTCGTTTAATAGTGTGTGGAGCTATGCATCTCGAGTTATTGATGGGCAGTGTAATCTAGATGTTTATGATTACTCCGATTCAAATGAAAGGTTAAAATTTGGACTGATGCTTCAGTTGGGAACCGCCATATACTCCATGGTACCAATAGTTATCTTAACTTCCTTGACTACCCTTATCGTAGTGAAGTTATTTCAACATCAAAGATGGCGACGGAGCCTGAATTCGCGACCTTCAAGCGACCATGAAAGCCGAATCACAGCGATGCTAATATGCATCGTCATCGCCTACGTCATTCTGATTCTACCTATCACTGTAGTGCACAATGTGGCTTATCAGAAACAAGTACATGCGTACTCAGAGAAATCCTATAAATTTAGCTCCTTCAAAGAAGTCGCACAGTTGATGGAACAACTTAATTACTGTCTTAATTTTTTTTTATACGTGATGACTTCAAAACAGTTTAGACAAATGTTATGTAACATTGTATTCCAAAAGGCTAGAGTATGATAAAATTAATTCAATAAACAGATGAAACAAAACAAGAAGGCAATCATCATGGTTTCTCTTTAATGAGATCTTGGTAATTCCATGCATTTGTGAAATACCCGGGCCCTTAACGATCGCTAAACCATCAAGCATCTTATTTAACATATTCCATCTTCTTGAAAATGACTTGTTTGGGGATAAGATTTTTGTTCTCATCAAAATATAACATTGTCTAGTAATGGAACGCTTTGGATAATGAATTATAATGGAGCAAAGGGTAGTGTTACTAAATATAAAAAACGATCAGAGTTTGGGCAATAACCTTGTTAAAATATTACAGTCCAAAATTCCTCAGTCAATTTTCTAAATTATGCTAATTTTTTATCTAATATAACAAAATAATGAATGAAAGAATGATTGGATTTCTAATCTATTCATAGTCTCAGTGTACTTCTATTGCCCTTATTCTGCTCCTGGTATTAAAATAATATAAGGTCAATGGTCATATTTTTTTTAAAAATACTGTCTTGAATGGCTTTTGTTCATATGTTTTAGATTTGCTCCATTGCACTCTTTTCAATTATTCATAATAACGCATTAGCATTAACAAACATAATATATTCAAAATAATATAGAAAAAGGAAATTTAATTTTAAGGATAACATTCTTTTAAAAAAAGAATTTTTTTTAATCTTAAAATTGTCCGAATTTCCTCTACATTTGTTGTAACAGTTGCAAATTGTCGTCAAATTGTAAAATATTAACTATTATATTGATACTCATTTATTACATTGTTATTTTGTCTGTTTAGAACAATATTTGATTTAAGATTTAATAATTTATATCAATCCTCTACTGTCAACTAAATCCCTGAGTGAACGTCATCCATAACGTAAAAATAACTAAATAATGTGTTTCAATCAGAAAATTAGTTAGAAGAATATTTATAATATCTGAGTGGTCATCTGTCTCTTTTATTCGTTTACTCATATTTCTTTCACAGTAGCAGTTATTGCAAGAATTTCATCATTCTTACCATATCATTGGGATTCTTAAATGGAATAATCCCAAACTTGTAAAATACACAGTCCTGAATTAATCTAAAGGTGCGTCGTGATTTTGACTCGCTCAAAGGCCAAGGTCACTTATAAAAAGATAAAATTACATAATGTTTAGGCCAAAAACTTTTGAACCTTTGATTGAAGTACAATGTAATGTGTTGTTTTTAAACTATTTTTGAAATGTTTATTTTACCTTTTCTGACCTTTAATGAGTTTTCATGCATCTGTTCAAACAGAACTCCTACACAGTTTGTATATATGTGGATATAATGCTTTTTAGAACGCATTAGTATATAAGTCTACCCCAATGCATGATTCATAACATCAGAAAGCAAAAATACAACAAACTAAGATAGTGAAAGTCATTATTAATTACATTAAGTATAAACTGAAATTGATAATATACAATCATTATAGCAAATGGTAAAGAAAACAGAAATCTGTTGAATCTTAGACTTTCATTTGCAGAATCCAAACCGCCTATTATCACTGAATATATTAATACTTTGTTGTGATAGTACAATGTTGTTTGCTTGTAATTGATTGTATAAAGGTTGATTACCGGACTTGTGTATGGTGCAGATCATTTCTAACAAAAATCAAAATCAGAATAATTCTGTGCCATGGTTGCTCCATTCCTTCAAATTTTCTCCTCATACATAGACAAGCACATACATGTACATACTGACGACAACTTTTGAAATCCCAGCTTTTTCGGGAAAGCTTTAAAATTTACAAAACGGTGAAATAAAACGAAAGATCAATGGCGATCTTATTTAATGTCATCATATTATTGAAGTTAAAGTTTAAATATACCATTTCGTTAAAATATTTAAATAACAAAAGAAAATTTAAATTCTTTTCTAATTATAATTAATAAACTTGAATGGTTGAAATACATTAGGGTCTTCTCGTCCGTTTATAAGACCTTATGCTTGTATTTATAGTGTATTTATTGTATACTTGTATATTTTTTTACTATTTTGAATACGTTCTGTTTTCAATGATGTTAGGGATTTCTTAAGCTTGGTACCATAAAGGCAATCAACTATGTAAAATCACTAAATGTTTTAGAATTGTTGTTTTTGTGAGTGTTTTTAAATAATAATAAAAGAATAAACAATAAACTGAATTGACAATTCACAGAGATTTGTTTTTCTTTATGATAGAATTCACTCTCATGTTTGTCTAAAGACAGCACAAAAATATTTACCAAAAGATGACACCGGTTAATAGAAGATAAAATATATATAAACATTCTTAATTCACTTTCAGATGTCCTTTTGAGACACTGAAACTATTTTCCTTGCAATGCGCCATGTGTATATACCTGTCCGCTACAGGGAAAATTAACTACTGTAAAATATCTCACAAATCTCACTGAGATCCTTCATTAACTTCAAATCCATCGATGTAATCGCCACTGAAAGCAGGTTTTCTTAATTGATAATCTTCTGTTTGAGGAGGTAACATGGAGCATCCAATAGATTCATTATAGATTGCAGAGCTTATCGCCAACTCTTGATACGTGGAAGTAGAAGTTCGAATTTCCTGCAACTCAGACTGCCTTGCTGTCAAATATGTATCGTTTCCGTCCTGTCGGATTCTGTGCACAACACAGATTATGAACGCAACAACGATACCCACTGCCACCAGAGAAGAGAGCAAGGCGGTGACGAAAACCCAAGTCGGCGTTCTACTTTCTTTTATCGAATGAGCTTTACATTTGGATTCGCATTCTAATATCAGAAGACATAATATTCAAATTTTTCAATGTCTGAATATTATCTTTTAAACTCTTTCTATGAATTTGCCATTTCATTTTATAACATCGTCACAAACAATTAAGCTGAAGAGCCAACATTTACATAATTTATCTGAATGGACAATGAATAAGTATTATGCCATATCAACAAAGTGTTTCTTTATGCATAGAAAATTTACAAAAAATTTTATAAACTTTAAAAATGTAAGTTCCATATAATCTTGCCGAATAAGTTTGAAAGAAATGTCATATTGTACAACTGCACTTACAGCTGTAGTGCAGAAATAAAAATGGAGCCTCTGCTTTTTCCAGTATCATGTTAGTTATGTGATTTTTTTCTTATTTGAAGACTGCATCAAAAATCAAAGGTGATTTAAAATACAGAGCCAAAGATATCTTGTATTTTATTCCAGCGTGTCTTAAACTATTAGAATATAAAGTACCTGTCGTTAAACACTGTTGATAGGGACACAACTCCATAAAGGCACAGAACCCCTTGATCCGCTCCCCAGTTACTGTACTTGTACACCAGGAACACCCAGAACTTCGGAAACACTCACTACAACCAATGCAATTTGTAACATATCTTCTAATAAAACTGTCCGTATTAAAGCTGAACACTACACGTAAACAGACATACACCAAATTAGTTTTCCTACCTTCTATATCAACACAAGGGTATATAAACCCTTGCACATAATTGCCATTACCTTGTCGCTGCTGCCTGTAGTACATGTATACCTTAAACTGTCCTTTTAGTTTACGTTTTATTTCATTGAACGTGCATTTGTGTTTATTCACTTTGTAACATTGACCTGTGTAATTCATATCGAAAAACACTTTCTTTTTTTTACTGACGTGGCAGAGGCTTAAACATATAGAAGTCATTTTTGTCGAGCTCAAGTATTTTACCATGAGAATGAAGGATACATCATTCCAAGTGAAGTCCGTGAAGCGAAATTCATTGAACTCTGAACAAAGCTGAGGGTTATATAGAGGCTGTAGAAGGACAGTCTTGAGAGGACTAATATGGCAGACAAAGATAATTCTCTTCCTTTTACGAATCGTGTCCAGCTCTAAATCATATAACAAATCTGCATCATTGTCACATAGAATGAAAAATGTAAGGAAAACATCTGGGGTAAAATGGGAAAATGTTACACTGAGACACAAGTGGAGAACGGAATCCACTGCATGAGGGTAGACAGGTCTGGGAGAGGAAGAAGATATGACAACCAAAACAGAAAACTGCTAGAATTCATCATCATGTTCGAAGTAAATAGAGTGCTTGGTAATGATCAATGTGTTAGAAGTAACTAGAGTGACTGGTAATGATCGCTGATCAGAAGTAACTAGAGTGACTGGTAATGAACGCTGATCAGAAGTAACTAGAGTGACTGGTAATGAACGCTGATCAGAAGTAACTAGATTGACTGGTACTTGTAATGAACGCTGATCAGAAGTAACTAGAGTGACTGGTAATGAACGCTGATCAGAAGTAACTAGAGTGCTAGGTAAAGGAAAGATACAACGTAAGCACCAATGTTCAAAAAGGGTAACGCATTGATCAGTCAAGACTGAAGAAAGGAAAGGATGATAGAACATTTTAAGAAAATTATAAATAATTTTGTTCACATCCTGAACAACCGTAAGTGGAAAGCAAAGGAGAGAGAGAGTAGCCAAGATAAATTCTCGTCCATACCGAAATAATATATATCATCAAGGCTAAATTGATAAATCAAAGAATGAAATTACTTTCGATTTCCATTACTGGAATAAGAGGCGTATTTGGTCGTCTGAATGGGACAACCATGACGAAGCGGAGAATACAAAACCTTCAAATCTTAGTCCGCTTTTGAATGGTAACTGTATTTGTCTTTCCAATTAAAGAATAGAACTACTAGACATATGTAAGAGTGCGAAAGCCCTGAATTCGTCATCCATTGATAAAAATTACGACGTTTCCGAGGCATGTGTATATTGTATTTAGAAATGGACCGTCAACATTTGTCGACAACTTCCTGTAATAAATATAAATTGATATCGCTGACTTTTCTCACCGTATACAAAGGGTAGCGTGGGGGAGTCGCTAAAAAGTACGGGGGAAACGTTTTCAGCGTATGGGGGAGTACATTTTCAACGCTTCGGAGTCAGAAGGGATGCAGGAGATGGAGGGATGTAGAAGAGAAACAGCAACCATATCAAATGTATGATGTATGAAGTATACTTATGCACTTCACAGTAGAGAACAATTGGTACACGGTTTTTTTATTTATTTCTACATATTGCTTTTATTAAGTTTTATACATGTTTAATTCTAATTATACATAAAATCATCAAAATAAGTATGTCAAGAAAGTATACGGCGAAAGAAAAGTCGCAATTTAAAATGATGTACAATTGTGCGATTCCCCAATGCGTTGTGTCTTCCCAGAAACAACTCCCCCTTAAGTAACAATCATTATCTGAAGAGAAAATGTCCCCATTATTAAATTTTATTAAGTCTATTCAAGTTTTAATTGTTGCATTTAAAAGATAAACGTTTGCTTTTGCTGTTTTAACTGTCAGAGGCCCTATGCAAGTCGTAGATTGTGCAAATCATGCATGTTCTGACCACTCGATCGCCGTGAATATGAAACCTGTCAAATATTTTCGAAGTTTTTTAGAATACTAGACGTATATGGAAGCCGGACCAATGACCAAGACAAAGTTTAAATATCGCTGTCTTCCGTAGGATATTTGTTTTTTTGACTTAGTTACCCGGTGTATACGGTGTTTCTACTTCTGATACATGTAAACAATACAGTGTCTCATTTGCTAGCGTTTTTTCATCAATATTCAACATAATGTTTAATCACATATTTTAACGATTGTCCCAGAAATCTTGCTAGATTTGTACATTTTCCGACTTTTTCACAAAAGAACGCACTAAGAACTATAACTCTTCCATGGAGGAAACAGAAGATATTGATGGGATAAATACTGAGATATCGGTATAATCAATATTACTGAAAGTATTCGAAAGCGCTAATCTTTATTTTTTTAGTCTCTTTAAGTCAGATATGACCGTCCGTTGATTTGAAAATCATAAAATTGATTCTGGGGATCGAACTCGCGGCCGTAAGATTGTCAGTCCGACGTACTACAGATTACGCCACAGAAACCATTACGATTCTTCCGAAGTTTATAAAATATATAAATAAACCTTCATATAACTGACACAAAAACAAGAAATAAACAGATATTATTTCAATATAGTGATATTATTATTAGAAACTTAAGGTAAGTTTTTACGACAAAGTTTCAAACTAATCCATTATTTATTACAAATCGTTAGATCATCACGAAGTCATTAAAACGCTTTTTATATAACGCTTGATTAAAGGAAAAAAATTCTCAATGAAAATGACGCCTGCAAAACACAATCACCAGTATGAGTCGCTTTGGGACGGAAAATCCTGTCTTATTTAGAGAAAATAATCTCATGTCCAAAAGCAACTAAGCATGACACTAATTTTAGCATTAAGATTTCGAATGAGTTTTTGCATTTGCGCGCTAAGTACCGATATTTTCACGTACACAACAGAGCAGGAAAATCTGCACACCCTTTGTGTACAAGACTTTGAAAATGTTAATTAATTCAAATGAAAAACAAGAGATGTTTGTGAAACACTTATACCCCCCCCCCCCAAATAATTGGACTTTTTCTAAGTCCAAGGGGTATAACTTTGTCAAAAATTGCTATATCGTACCCAAAACAGAACTTGACCTAGATATCCTTATGATAAATATGTATACCAAATTTCATTTCAGTATGTGCAACCTCTGCGAAGAAAATGAACGGAAACTGTTGGTGGACCGACAGACAGACAGCAGCAAAGCAATATGCCCTCCATTCTTCGAAAGGAGGCATAAAAATATGTCAAAAAGATTACCTCAAAATTATCAAAAAATTACCGAGGTGAGACAAATGAGACTGTAGGAACTGGGGGAAGGATGTATGCCACAGACTCTGTCATGTGCGGTACAGTCATTTGAAAAGTTTGTTTTTTTTTTCAAGATACTGTTTCTAGAAAACAGTTAAGTAGTCTGTAAATCTAAGTAATCTCTATGGAGAAAAAGAAATGTTGATTCTTATTTGTGAGGTGAGGGAAGAAAGAGAAAAGAAATGCTGGAATGATACAAACCTCTCTGTTTTCCTGCATGAACAATTGAGCGCTAAACACCGACCAAGGTTGGTGATTTTGCTTATCTCACTGGCGCTAACAGATGTCACTTTTGGAACTTCATGACTGCACGGTACTGCTGTGTCCCTATGAAAGACAAAAGAAAAAGATGATAGTTTACATGTACATTTTATTTATATTCACATTTTTTAATTAAATTTTCTGAAAATCTTACCAAAGACAGTAAAAAAGATGTCTGATATTTTCGTTTCAAATAAATTATTCTTGTTCTTCATCAAATAAAATAAAAGGGAAATAAAAATACAAAACAATAAACTAAATTTAATTACAACGTACTTATTTTGGTACTTATTTTCACAGTCGTTGAATTTTAAGCGTTTATAACAGAGGCATAGGCACGTGTCTGATGGACACACTACCTCATTTGGTGGAAGAGAGGGATCCTAAAAATAGACAGGAACGATTTACATGTGAAGACAAAGAACTAAATACTACTCAAATACAATTAGTAAGACACTGTCATGTGCCTTGTTTGTACCTTGCAACATGGTATTTCTTCTTGCATATGTCTGCGTTTTAATATAAGAAACAGGTTTGACATTGGGACAGGGCGAAGTTCATATCCCTCTGCGTTGTTCGTAATACCATTTGTCTTGGACGGTGGCAATTTTACCTTTAATATTTTTTTTCAAATTTATTTACGATGGAATTCACCAACTCGCCTACACAAGATTACAAAACACTAACACTTTTAATGCCCCCGTATCGAATATTCGGGGGTATATAGTTTTTGCCCTGTCCGTCCGTCTGTCTGTTTGTCTGCAAAAATTTTAACCTCGCCCATAACTTTTAATTGGTTGGAGCTATGACTTTCATATTTCACATGTGTATTCCTTGTGACAAGACCTTTCTTCGGGTACCATCATATTTGACCTTTTCCTTGGAGTTTGACCCACTTTTGCAAAATTTTGTGAGACTTTAACCTTGGCCATAACTTTTGAACAATTGGTGCTTGGGGGTTTCAAACTTCACATGTGTATTCATTGTAACAAGACCTTCCTGTGGATACCAACAACTTTGACCTTTTGACCTTGACCTTGGAATTTGACCTACTTTTGAAAAACTTTAACCTTTGCCATAACTTTAGAACAGTTGGTTCTAGGGCTTTCATATTTAACATGTCTATTCCTTGTGACAAGACTTTCCTTTGTACACCAACTACTTTGACGCTTTAACATTGACTTAGGAGTTTGACCTACTTTTGAAAAAAATTTAACCTTGGCCATACCTTTTGAACAGTTGGTGCTAGGGCTTTCATACATCATATATGTAATCCTTGTGACAAGACCTTCCTTTGGATAGCAACCACTTTGACCCTTTGCCCTTGACCTAGGAGTTTGACCTTCTTTTGAAAAACTTCAACCTTGGCCATAAATTTTAAACGTTTCGTGCTACGGCTTTCATACTTCACATGTGCATTCCTTAGGACAAGACTTTCCATTGGATACCAACAATTTTGGCATTGACCTTGACCTTGGAGTTTGACCTACTTTTAAAAAAACTTTAACCTTGGCCATAACATGTGAACGTTTGGTTCTAGGGATTTCATGAACATGTGAATCACTCGTGACAAGACCTTCCCTTTGGGCCCCATTTGACATTGATCTTTATGTTTTACTTACTTTTAAAAAACTTTAACCTTCGCCATAACTTTTGAACAGTTGATGATAGGGCTTTCCAATTTCACAGGTATATTTCTTGAGACAAGACCTTTCTTTGCGTACCAACATTTTTGATCTCTTGACCTGGCGTTTGACTTGCATTTGAGAAAAGTTAACCTTCGCCATAAGCTCCCATACGGGGGCATCAGTGTTTCACAAACACATCTTGTTAAAATTTGAAAAACAATTTAAAGATAGATAATTTATGTTTTATTGCACAGTCTATTCAATGTTATATTATTAAGGATGCAACTCTATGTAAAGTACTACTCTGAATGTAATCTGTTCCTTTTTATTTTCAATATCTCTGCATGGCTGTCTGTATAGTATCCCCTCTGACGTCAGAGATCTGGAAATCCGCATTTCCTGAAAGTTTATTATACTTAAATAAAAACTCTTAAATTAAATATTCCATTTCATTTTTAAAACTAATTATAGTATTTGATGTGAATACAGAATATTTCGGAGATAATTTTTATCATATCGAAACGTGTTAGACCTTGTGGGTAATGTGAATCGGATTCCTGGCCCCATTCATTGTCTCTGTGAAGTATGGATGCATCACCAAAAACCCGCTATCGTCTATTACGATACAGCTGAACAATGAGAGAAAAAAATTAAACAACACAAAAAACCCAGAATGCTTAAAAGCTACAAGATTATCATGTTTTAAGTACGAGGACCGTTCAAAAGCTACGCGGACTCTGCTATTACTCACTCTTAGGGCCGGTACACACGGTAAGGCTTGCCTTGTGAGTCATGGAACTTAAGTTCTAACCTTACCGTATGTACACTCTTAATACACATTTTTTCGAGCCTTACAAGGCTGACTTACAAATAGAGCACTGCTCTATTTCTTAATACAAACTTAGCTGACCTTCTCTTCGCAGCCAATGAAAATCATTCACCCAAGTGTCAATTTATTTTTATCAAACCATGCAGGTGGGTAAATTGAAGTAAACACAAAATTATTTTCAAAAAAGTTAATGAATGTATTCACAAATACTTCCTCTAAGAAGTGTGAATGCATTGGTTAATAAAATTATTACAGCGCCCTAGTAATATCGTCTTCTACTTTAATGAATGAATGCACTGTTGAAGGCTGAAAAAACGTGGAATATATGGAAATGTTGTTTATATTAAATATTGTAAGTCTTGCCTTAGTGTGTGGACATAAAAACCGTACAGCCTGCAAAAACGTAAGGTTTTAGACTTAAGGCAAGCCTTACCGTATGTATCGGCCCTTACGGACAACAAATAATAATGAAATTTTACAAAAACGTATTTTTTTTAAACATTCCAGTAAATTTTGGGCAATTTTTTCAAAAATTAATCATTCCTAAAATTATTGCTGTTTTGATATAACTGATGCTGATATACGGCGCACAACAAAAATTTTGAAAAACAAACGTGTGGGATGAAAAGTTTCCCAGTGTGTACACACAGGATACGTGCTACCCACATTGATCTGTGTAACATCGCGCTTTGAATGCTGGGAAATCCCGTGACGTCGAAGATTTTACTGCACTGTGACTTTATATGTTATGCCAAATAGCCGAAAATTGATATCAATATAAAATATTTTGATATAAAATTTTGATGACCATGTCATAAGAAACGTTTCTTTTATATTATGTGTAACTCTTTGCTTGATTATGTCGTCAAATATTTCTTTTTCTATTTAACACGTTCGCGTAATTTTTGATCGGCCTTCGTATATACAATTATTATAACTTTACGAAAAACGAAATTTTGATTATTATTATTATTATCATTATTATTAAATGATTATTTTATGGACAGAGATGATACCACTTTTTGTAAACGGTGGAGGACGTTTTCTATCAAACAAATATTAAATATGGCTACAGTTTAAAATATTCCTGTCTTATAATACCACCTGAATTCTGTCCTATTCCTACACACAGGATACAAATCTAGTAGGATCTGATGAAGGAAATAAACGGAGAGATCCGCTCCCACCACGGCTTCTCCCTTACCACTACCACGAGATCTTTAATATATATATATAAATATATATATATATATATATATATATATATATATATATATATATATATATATATATATATATATATATATATATATATATACTTGACAAAATTGATAGTGCACTATCAGAGAAAACTAATATTTTACTTTTTCAAAACTTGTGTGTTATGTATTTGATATATAATAAAAATATGAGGTATTTATATGTCTTAACTGATAAATAACTACATAGTTTAATGAAGCGTAAACATTTCATAGAAAAAAATTAAAATAGTGTCCATACTTTTTTGAAAGAATAAACTATTTTTTTTTCTTTTGTGTTCGTGTTCTTTATGTTTGTATTAATTAAAAACTCAGAAAAAAGTTATACCGTATGCGGTGTTTGAACCTAGAAGAGCGTGCTAAAGCAAACATTATGGTGTCAGCAGGGATTTCCTTTGGGGAAATTTGTAAGAAATGAAAACAATTGAAAGATTATTAACTCCTCTAATAAAATATTATTGCAAAGAGGTTAACAAACATAAAAATGTTTACTATAGATAGCCATAGCATTAAGTAACGGTACACAATAATTTGAATTTTGTTCCACAAAATTGGACCAATCGGAAGTTGGGTGAATTTGGTGTGGACACAAAGGCACTGGATGATTTCAACGCGATATGATAGTCAATAGCAGTATGTTATTTGATTATTTTCTGTGAGACTGCTTCTGTGGCAATCTCACGGACCACTTTTGGTGATCACCAACTTCATATCTGGGCAAAAAAGCGTAATGCACGTCGGAAAATTTGTTTTCGGGGAAGAGGTTATTTAAGGGTCTATCAATGCCAAAGATTGCATATTATATACTAGTACCGATCAGACAAATGTTCAATTCATAAAGAAGAATAACAAGTGGTGCGTTAGCAGATTTGTTTAGGTGTATATATAAAATGATTGCTATTGCATTAATTATTATAAATTTTACATCCAGTTTCCAATATAGGTTTTGACAATACAGGCAGTCTTTACTTGTTCCTTCCTATTAGAATGGTGCGTGACAAAGTGATGACCCTCCCCATTCCTCCCAAATCCTCATACGGCGGAGACACAACGTTGACTGTTTTCTGTGATAATGTTTTTCGATACCTGTTTCCAAGTAAAAAAAAAAAAGATTTAAAAAATCATGATCAGAATAATTGTTTAAATAAATTGATAAATATTAAGATCTCTTATCCTTCCTTTCTTAAGAAGATTGAATTATTTTCTTTAATCAACAAAGAATATTCACCAAGTCTCTCAAACTAGAACTCCAGTCAACTTGAACGCACATAAGAATGATATTTTTATTTTACAATACGTTCTATTTCTACTATGGAAGAGTTATACTTCTTAGTGCGCTCTTTTGTGAAAAAGTCGGAAAATGTACAAATCTCGCGGGATTTCTGGGACAAACGTAATATAAACATGTAAACAATATGTTGAATATCGCTGAACAATTCCTAAGAAAATGCAAATGAAATATTTTATTGTTGTGGACTTTATATACATCAAGAGTAGGAATGACAACGATATCAATTTATATCTATTGTTGATCGTATATGTATCTATTTATCGTATGGTACATCTAAATACAATACACATGCCTCGGAAATGTCGTATTTTTATTAATGGATGATAAATTTAGGGTTCTCGCTCTCTTACATATGTCTTTTAGTTCTTCTATTCTTTAATTGGAATGACAAATACATTTAACACTTAAAATTGGATTGAGATTGGCATGTTTTGTATTATTCGCAAAGCCATGCTGTCCCAGTAAGACGACCAAACGCGCCTCTAATTTTGAAGAGTTCACTAATGGAAATAAAACGTATTGATAACACATACAGAGGTACGTGGTACATTTATTCATTCATTTAATATGCAACATATGATATAAAGTAAAATTAAAAGATTTTATTCTTTTAAATTTCTGACGACCTTTATTTTTTCTACAAAACCTACTTATTACATCAACACAAAAAAATGAAGGTCACATATCACATGTGTTGTTAATCAGTTTAAACAGGACAATCACAATATTATAAATTTGATTACCAGGGCCTCAGTTTGTGGTCGTAATCATCAGGTAATCGGACCCCTGGGTAAATCCTCTCTATACCGGCTTCTGTCATCACGTATCGCCATATCAGCTGAGATCCGTGACGAGAACCTATTCTCCAAAAATGTTCGATTGGAGAGGTGGCTCTAATGGAGTTTATCGCCGATTTCTGGTGGTAAATAAGTTAACTTAAAATTACAAATATCGCGAGAAAATGTCTGTCAAATTGGGGGGAAAATAGAAATTTCCGTGGATATGCAATATATTGAAAGGATATCTTTCATTTCTTGTAGATTTTATGTCAACACTTCACTATTTTTAAGCCTTGATTTTGCATTTTTACAGAATTAAAGGGGTAAAAAGATTAAATCATGCCTTATTTCAGCCTGCAATTGTACAAAGAAAATAAATTCATATGGTACCATGGATTCATTATGAACACATAAATATCAACAATAAAACAAAACAAGACATGAGGACGACATCTCATCGTTCGTTTGATTTTTTGGGTCCCTTGAGTCACTCTGAAACAGGTGACCTGTTACTTTTTCTCTCCGTCGTCATCTGTCGTGAGTCGGTCGTAAACTTCTGAACATAGTGAAAATGCATAAATACTTTTACTTCTCTCCCCCTGTATATATTTAGAAGATAAACTAGGTGTCTGGTTATGCTAAGCAAGGGTGCCTCTTCCATAATTAGGGCGGGGCTCTTATGATCATATAATGAAACTATATATGTTCTTTGAAAATCTTCTCTGCTTCAGGGTATTAATTATAAGGACAAACAAAGTGCATACATGTAGTTATGATTAGCAAATGTGCCTCTTCCAAAATTGAGAGAATTAGAGAGACCAATGTCAGAGGGAATGCAATTAGCATTATAATTATAGTGTTTAAGCACTTTTGTTTTGTTTAATCAGAATGTTGATAGTGACAAATAGGGGTAGGGGTAACATACAAGTAAATAGATCAACTTTAACTTTTGTAACTGAGTAATAGACTAATTAATTTGTTGATCCCTGATCATATGATTTCTCTTGCGTTTGGGCTACATAGCTTGGATCATTTATCACCAAAATTTCATTTAATGGATCTTTAAATCACCTCTTTTGAAATATGGTTTCAACATGCAAAGATTGATACTAGCTCGTAATTACATGTATTTCTTAATTAAACATCATATGCAGGCGATAGGGGAATATTACTAAATAATAAATAAATACATGTAACAAGTTGGTGATGGAAAAGCCGTTTTGGAAGTCATCCCATTTGTCATATAACTTAGTTGTTACTGTAGATTCCTAAATATACGCGAGGAATAAATTATCGCGTAATTACGCGAGGAGCACCGCTCGCGAAATAAAACTACTCGCTTTTATTTTTATGGTGTTTTAATGTATGTAAAATCTCTAGATAAATCACCCATTCGCGAATTATTTTTCTCGCAATTTGACGTCATTCGGCCATTTCGCGATATTAAGTACTCGCGTAAAATAAGGAATCTACAGTAGTTGACCATAATCGTCCATGATCAGTAAAAAATCAAAACGGATGATAAAGAAAGATTTTAAAAGAAAACATTTTAAACCAATAGCCACTGTGGTGTAGTATATTGTGCGATTTTTATTGTTTTCTGAAAACACAGTGGGTGAAATATGAAGATAACGAACAGTAGTCAATTTCAGAAGTGCACTGAAACAATACAGATTTGGAGCTAAGAAAACAAGGGCACCTAAAAACATCAGAGGTGAGATCAGGTGCCATTGACGAATAAGCATCCTCTGTCTACCCCTCTGTCCTGCTGTGTGCTTCTTGTCATGATCAAACGTATAAATCCGTAAACAATTCAGTGTGAAAATAATAGCCTAACAACAATCGACTTAACGCTAAATTGAATATTTAAACAAGGTCATTGTATACACCATAGAATTTGCCAAATGTTGTCTTTCGACGAAACTGTTGATATCCTTGTATCATCACTTATTTGTTAATAGCTTGTCTCTCTTTAGAAATTGTTCGTACGTGGAACATGTTCTTGCATATCGAATAAACTGGGAGACATGAACTTCATTTAAGCATTGAATTCTTATTTTTGGATGTCTTCGGTCCTATAACACACCTGGCCTTGCCAAAAAATTGAATACCGCGCGTTAGCGCGGTATGATAAATTTGTAGGCACGGCCAGGTGTGTTATACGACCGAAGACATCCCAAAAATAAGAATTCAACGCTTATATTTACATTCTCTTATTTTCTCCATAATTGTTTATTTCGTGAATTTTTATTATGACTTTAGCGCCTTTCATAACTGGTGTGCTTAGTAGACGTAAGAGCCATTTGTGACGTGGAAAGTTAATTAACGCAAATGAACATTACGAGGGAAAAAATAACAAATTGATTATAAACACACAGTTGTTGTATTTTTACTTTTATTTAATAGCGTAATTGGTTTTTTTTATTAAACTGAGTCAAAACAATAAACATTTTGGTTATCCTAGAGTATTCAAAATGCATATAGTTCCTATTTTGTGTTCTACCGCGCAGTGACAAGATTTCGTATGTGTTATAGAGATTTGAACGTTGAAGATTTCTAATGGATTCATAAAGAAAATCACACTGAATGTAAATATATGCAGGTGATAATGGTATATTAGTGTACATAAATAAATGAAGCTGGCGATAGAAAAATTGAAGTCATCACGTTTATCATAAAATTTTGTTGTTAGTGTGCCATTAGTGTCCTTCTCTAGTAAAATATCCAAATAGGTAATAATAGATTTCAACACATACAATACTGTTATATTAGGTTCGTCCAGTGTTCGTCAGAAAAATGCAAGAAAATATTAAGCATTGAGACCCAAACCTTTTCATCGATCGCCTCTTTTAAACTTTGTATCACTTTGATGAGATGGGGGTGGGGGGGGTCACTTTTCAAAGGGGGTCAATTTCTTCTAAGTTGCACGTGTAGAAAACTAACCCCTAGGGTTCTTTTTCTACAAAAAAAACCCTCAGTTTTCTACGGCAAGGGAGTTATTTTTCGGGGATCAGTTTTCGTCTTTACACCGGATTAGACAACATTCCTAATAAGACAACATTTAAAACAATTGAATTTACTAAAAGAAACTAAACGTTAACATCGTATTAAGCAAGATATCGGAATACACAAACCTGTATTAGACAATATTCACTGTAATTGTTACATTTTATTCGCAAGAATTTCTTTTTCACTTGCCAATTTCCTTTGCCAAAACACAGTTAACGCAAACACGGAAATTTATCTCGCTAAAAAAAAATCTTAATTTTAAATATAATTGAATATTAATTGCATAAAGGTTGCATCTGTAAACAGCATTTAAAAAATAAAAGACCGTCCTCTGTACATCTTTTTGCATATACTGGATACAACATAGCAAAAACTAAAATCGAAAAAATCATTCTAATCGCACATCATTCTAACTATTTTCTTTAAATATCATTACGTGTCAGTTACATCTCTCGTTCATTCTGTCTTTGTGAGTATATTACTAGCATGTGTGCATTAAAATTGGTGTTGATTTAAATTAGGAAAAACTATATACTAACTTAACTACACATCGGTCGTGTACAACAAATTCTTTTATTAATTTGCAATTTAAATTTGGTCGATAATTTCTGCAAGTAAAACAGGTATGTCTCTACTATTGTTTTGCATTCGTCCATTGAACTGTCCTTTCATTTTATATGCATGTACTTTATTTTGCCAAAAAAAGAAGATCAGATTCTGCAATATGACTTACTGGTACCGGTAGTTTTTTGGGGGTTTTGGGGTTTTTGTTTTTTTTTTGATTGACATTTCTCATTTAATCTAGGTTGCAAAATTATGTTTGGCAAAAATAATATATTGTCAAGGACCTACATACTATATACTAGGTCGTTTTCTGATCCAGCGGTTCTTGAGAAGAAGATTTTTGAAGTTTTTTACGCTATATGTTCCTGTGTAAAAATTGATCTTCTACTGTGATTCCAGCTTATCCCCGGGGTCATGATTTTAACAATTTAGAAATTGCACTATGTCGGGAAGCTAAGATTTTAAGTTGAAAAGTATTTACCTTGAATCCAGGATTGCTTTGGATAACACCAGATATATATTGTTCGTATAGGTGAACTTCAGCCTCAGTTTCTTTTGCATTTATATAGCTATAAATACTCTCGTATGCATCTCCCGTAAACTTGATTGTTGTCTTCTCTAGAACAAAAATGAAATAAATAACTAATTTTAAGTTATATATTATTTTTTATTTTTACATGTCGAAAACGTATATCGAAGAGGGGGTGCTGTTGTCTACATTTTAACATATCTCACACAATTTTTCAGTCAATGAATTTGTAGCTATTATAAACGCAGAGGGTGGAACAAACCTAGAATAAAATTAAAACATGGGAACAATGATAAGTGTACATATAATTTGGAATAAAATTATTATTCATATAAAATTATTATTCATACCAATACTCTGTAGCTCTGCCCATAATGAGCATGAAGACGGTTTATAATTAGGCAGTACTTCATCAAGACACATTCATCTGTTCAATAATATTACATAAGAATGTATGCTCAAGTCTATAGCTTTCTTTTTTGCAAATAAAAGAACTTTTCCCAATTTTTCCGTTCAATTAGCTACTTTGACACAAAAGAGTAGTTTCAACTTCGGTTACTTATTCTCAAAATATTTTTCACATTTATTTTTTCTACTAACAGACATGCATGTAAGTTGAAATTATGTGCGGCCTGGTTATTTTGAGGTATTTTGATTGACATATTTCGTACTAAATGTAAGGCTCACGGTGGGAGTGGCCGGTCGACAGGGGATGTTTACTCCTCCTAGACACCTGATTCCACTAACCAAATTGTTTTTATTTTATTTTACAAATTTCTCCAAAGGAAGATCCTGCAGACTCACGCTTTTCTAAGGTCAAATGCCGTATACGGTTTATTTTTTTCCTTAGCTTTTAATTAGGAAAACAAACATAAAACAAAAAATAGAAAATATTTCTCCAAAAAGTGTGAACACGATTTTCATTTTTTTTCTATGAAATGGTTTTGCTTCAGTCGACATTGTAATTATTTATCTGTTAAGAATTTTAATGCCTCATTTTATTACTATAGTAACATATTTGTATATCAAATACATCATAAACAAGTTTTGAAAAGTTTGGTGGTGTGTTACACATGTAGCAACTTTGTCTAGTGTGTGTATAATTGGATTAATACCCATACACGAAATATTTGTTCTTTAGAGCATTGTAAGACATCAAGATTATTTCTAGTTTCATGTAATGCAATGGTATCCAAGGCAAGATTAAATGAAATTCGATTTCTCTAGAAATGTGTGTGTACTTTTATAGGGTACAATGTGTCAGTTTTTTACAAGACCGTTTTTAAGACTTAAAAAAGTTAAATTATACTGATATGCATAAAATGAAAATTACTACAAGAAAAGATTTCAATTTCAAGTTACATTTAGATTTTTTAATTAAAAAATAATTTTCAGAGCTATCATTCCTGGCTGAGGAGCACATATTCTTAATGTGTATTTTAAAAAAAAATCAATATCTCTTAAAATAAAGTTTTTGTCCTCTACTGCGATAGGAAACAATGACTTTGGCGACAGAAATTATAACGTAATGACAGAATAAATTTATTGACAAAAGAACTTTGTAGGTATCTCTGACTTCAAGTCCTGTGGATAAGCATTATACGACCTTCTGTAAACCGAATGCACCCTGTTACCTTTACGTACCTAGACGATGTCAAACGCAGAAATTTTCTATATTATGTACTTGTATTTATCATTTTAAGATAAAAAGTAGTTCCGTACCCTTAGTTGCATATCTGTTGAAATGTCTACATGCTACTGTTGGCCATTTTGTTAAATCCCAGCGATGATACAAAAAATCCCCTTTTTTAGGACTCAGAGTTTTTAGGGTCTTTATAGTACCATTCCACTCCATCACAACACACAAGGACAAGTTACTTCCTCTTACATTTATCTGTTTAAATACGAAATACTTAAAAATAAAACTTAATTCATTTCTTATGGCTGATAGCATATTAGGTAATTAATGTTTTGAATACAATTCAGCATGCATTACTGGAAATTTTGTTTTACTGCTTACTTTCAAAATATTGAATATTGATTTTCGTTTAACAATCTTATTTTCTTTAATTTAAATAAAGGTCAGTGTTACCGGGGTCCATGTATATAAAGCGTCAATTGTACTTGACAAGTCCCCGTCTCTAAGTCTATCGCCTCTACTCTCTATCATTGTCGTTTGTAAAAGTTTATGACCACTCTGACCCCTGTAAAATTGAGAAAACAATCTTTTGGAGAATCTATTGGTCGCAACATTTATGCAAAGGGACTCGTTTTGAAGATGCTTGACTTTCTTCAGCTTTTAATTTTAGAAACGTTACAAAAAAAATTAAAAGCATCATACATTGATTTTTCGTTAAAAAAACCAGTTTCAGAAAATCTTTAATATATGATATACACGAAAACTGTTACTTTCTTTTTCATCGAAGTTATTACTTGCTCAACATCTCCGGAAGTTTCAAAGTTGTAGATGTTATTGACGTCATAGCTTTTTGTGTATGCATCACGCGGATCTGGAAAAAGCGGATGCACCAGAGTTCGCTCTTTGCCATCGATGATAAATGCGTAAGAATGTTGTCCACGTTGTAAATAAGTTATCTCTGAGACAAGCTCACTCAAGCGAATGTCTGCACATACTACACCGATAAACTGTCCTTTGTGCCCAATGGGTAAACAGCCCGAAATCACAAACTCTAAAAATAGTAAGAACGAAACTTCTACTGGTCATTTGAATGTATCAATGAACTCTTCCTACATTAAGGTATAGTCATTAACGGACTACCGAAGAAAACCCATATGTCCCGATTATCAACAATGATTTCCCCACATATTACCCTATTTAGTTTGGAATTAAGGCCACACTTTTGATTAGTGAGTGCACAAATTACTATATGTACTTTATTTCAGTTTATAAATGAAAGCAGAAAAGCATCAACAAATTGAAGAAGTAAAATACCTTTGCTTATAAAATCTTTATAAGGAAGGGTATATGTCGGAATCTGTGATATAGGTATACCGGTGCTATTGTAATACATCCCCATGGCCTCTCTTAGAGAGGATCCCTTGAGATCCTGAATAATAGTGCAACTTCCATTCTGGAATGAAATAAAATGAAAAATCATTATTTTATTTTTCAAATAATAAGACCAATAAAGAAAAAACACAAAGACAAGAACAAAACTAACTTATCTTTGGAATGATTGATTTGATTGCATGTGCAAATGAATAGAACTATAATGCAAAAATCTATTTAAAAAAAAAAGTGTATGTGCACTTTAATTTCTCGACTTATTGTTTTTGGAAAGAATTGAAGTATGTCAAATGTATTAAATTGAAGCACCTTTCTTCGAATTCTTCGAAAGCTTATTCCTTTTTGTAGGAAGTAATTGGGAAAGATAATCGTGTACAAGGTGAAGAAAAAGAACACTGATCAATCTCATAGATCTGGTAAAGAATACAAATCGTGAACAAGGCAATAACAAGGACCTCTGGAAACACCAAGGGTGGGATCAGGTGCCTAGGAGGAATAAGCATCCCGTGTCGACAGGTCTCACCCGCCGTGACCCCTCTTCATTGATCAGGTTAACGGGTACTCCATAGTCAAAATGGTATAAAAACAATGGCCTAACAGTTGATGGAAATATGTCAGTCAAAAGTCAAAATATCAACCAACGATAGGTTGTAGTTGCAAATAATTAATGTCATTATAAAGACAATACATTTGTAGAATTTACGGAATGCTGACTTTAAACGGGATAGTTGAAAACTCTGCAACAACAACTTATTTAATTTGTCAGAAGTCTGTCTCTGTTTAAAAAATTGTTTGTGCTCAGAACATGCTCTTGAATATCAAATCAATAGACATGAATACTACATGCAGATGAGAATAAAATATATCGATAATAATATAAATAGACAAAAGCTTAAGTCATCCCGATTTAGTTAAGTTGTTAGTCATTAATGTCTTATGTCATAAAAGTATGAAGCAGATGTGGCGCAGACCCTGTGGTGTCCTTTATTTCGAGGTCACTTGAACATATATCTAGTTAACATATGAATGAAAATTATTTTTGTTCATTGACAAAGAAATCATCGAAAAGTCAATGATCTCTTGAAAGTATTGAATTTTCCCGAGAAAAAAAACAGTTTGAGTTGGTTCTTTCTCGGAACATAATCAACGAATGTACCTTCCCAAAAATAAAGAAAAGGTGTGCGTCAGTTCAAAAGTGGTGAAAACGATTATAGGCAATTCATGCCTGCTCTTTATTCCAATTCATGCCATGAATAAAATATTTTTAAGACAAACAGTTCATTAATATATTTTTTTTGCTCATATAATCAACATTTATACATCTTATAACTGTAAAAATTGTACTGAGAAAAATTGCAATTATAAAAAGAGCATAACATGAAAAAAAGAAGCCAATTTGTAGCAAACAAAGTAGTCTGTGGCAGAATGGTTATGCTTGCCGGATGCATCGTGTGGAATCGACCGTAATCGGCTGCAGTCAGTCATAAACAAAAATAATTGTCTGAATCTTAACTTCCATAGATTATACTGATGATTTAGTCTACAACCAACCAGAATGCTTGAAGACCTTAACTTTAATATATGAAATTTCAATGATCGAATTTAAGTTACCAACAAGACATTCACTGAAAATCATATCCCACCCCCGAAAGATGACATTGACAAAAGAGGAAAACATCACGGGGAAATGCTGTATACAACTCTGATTGTGCCGACGCTCATGTAGAAGAAAAAGAAATCACTCAGATGTAATATGCTATCACTCTTCCTTATGTTGCTAGACATGATAATGTTAGAAGAAAAGAAAATGTGAGGTTTCAAAAGTAAACTGGGGGATTAACTAAGCAACAGATGAATCTGTAGCGTCATCCAACAAAAACAAAATACGAAAGACAACAGACAATCTCTCCGAAGAAACCCAAGTGAACCGATCTAAATTTAAAATCAAACTGTATTAATTTGGTATTGACATAGAAACTTTTATGTGATAATATATCTAAAACTAAGTCCAACCATGTCCGTAGAGACTTAGGAGACGATAGAAATTTAGATCGATGAATAGATGCTTTTGTTAACTTTTAATATCAAATAATGTATGTTTTGGATTTCGTACAATTTTTAGATTTTGTAAAATTGAGAGAAAAACACAGAACCCCTTACAATTTTTTGAGGTTTATTTATCTTACCCTAATGGACCCAAATGACTCCTTATTCAAGACTTGAGTGGACATATTCCTCAATAACTCTCTTACATGGCTACTCAGACCTAAAACGTGACAACAATAAAGATTTTAAATTATCAATCAACATGAAAAGATTTAAAAGTAATTATTGTCTTAATTTCAACATGTCTAATTAATTTGAACTTTCAATTAGAACATGTCTACAGAGGTTTAATGTTTTAAATGGCAAAAATAAGCATAAAACTCATATTTCTGCGTAAAATCTCCTTGAAATCCATCACTCCAGTTAATATAAAAGACCGTATTGAGTTTGCCTAATTCTTATTTTATTTTTGAATGTTTCTCTCGACCAAACAAAGTCTCTGTGCGGTAATGCAAATGCATTAGGAAACGACGTGTTTCCTCTTCTCTTCCTTATATTGTTTATGTTGATGAACCCGTTTTAAAAACTCTCTCAATCATTCTTAATATGTATATCATCCATTAAGTGCACAAATCAGCATTGATAACCATATTTCGAATGTGTGACCGTTCACGGTAGCTCAGTCGGTAGAGCGCTCGCTCCGTGATCGGGAGGTTCGAATCTCGGCCGCGACTGACATAAGTCGATAAAAAATGGGTAGCAATTGTTCCTTCGCCATGCGCTAGGCACTTTGAAGTGAAAGTTGCGGGTCCTTCGGATGAGACATTAAAAACCGAGGCCCCGTGTCACGGCAGGCGTTTGCACGATAAAGATCCCACATTGCTCAATGGCCCTGAGTGCCGAGTAAAGGTCAAAATTTGAAGCCCTACAACGGTATATGGTGACGTCTCTATATGAGTGAAAAATTCTCGAATGGGACGAAAAACAACATACAATCAATCAATCAATCGAATGTATGAATCAGTGTGGATAGCCACATAGACCTGATGATATACAGTATGTGAAAAGCTACATTTTCTTCTCCCTATAACGTACGTGTGGAACAGTTTGGACAGCATCATGTACATTTACCTCTCCTTGTACCGCATGTGTGAATCAGTCTCAAATTGGATAGCCTTGTTTACCTGTCCCTAAACTTACGTGTGAGAAGCGACATTTTCCTCCCCCAATTTCGTGTGGTGGATCAATTAAGATAGCCATATTTACGTTTTTCTATACATTATATGTGGATAATCTCATTTACCTGCCTTAACCGCACTTGTGGATAGCTTTCATCTCCCTATGACGTTTGCATGGATCACTTTAGATAGATTTACATATTTACGTGAACGTGTCCCTATTTGTGTGTGTGGATCAGTTTGGATGTGCGAATTAACCTGCCCTTTAACCGTACGTGTGATTAGCCCCATTTTCCTCTTTTTATGCTTGTTTGGATCAGTTTGGATTGCCTAATTAACCTGTCCTTTAACCGTACGTGTTGATAGCCACATTTTCCTCTCCCTATGCTTGTCTGGATCAGTGTAGACAGCCACATTTACTGTTTGTGTGGATCAGTTCACTAATTCAAACGACACATTTCACCTCCCTACACCGTATGTGTTAAAAGACACATTTCATTCCCTATAACTCGTGTATTGATCAGTTTGGATAACCATATTTACTTGTCTCTATATCACATGTGTGGAACAGTTTGGAAAACATCATTTACCTGACGTTTGTGTGAATCAGTTTGAATAGCCTTTCGTCTGTCTTATACGATACATGTATATGTGGATCAATTTAGATACCCTTATTTATCTTCCCTAACCGTATGTGTGGAATGCTATGTGTGGATCAGTTTAGTGTAGCCATATTTACAAATCCCCTATACAGTATGTGTGAATTAGTTTGAATACTTATATTTACCTGTCCCTACACCGTATGTATGGATAACCACTCGATTTTGAAGCTGACTGTTCTTTTCCCTAATGACTTCTAGCGGATTGTCCTCCCCTGTGTTGTCTCCATCAGTCACAAATAAAATCACCTGGTCTACAAAAATTATTGTTTAAATTCTTTCCTGTTAAATGGTATCAAAATGATAACATTTTCGAAAATAATTAGTCATGTACCTCTTTCGTTATTTTTATTAGTTGAATTGTTTATGAGGTACTCAAATGCTTTACGTAGTCCTGCTGCATAGTTGGATCCTTCACTTGTGCCAACTGAGCTGATGAAACCTTCGAGGTATTGTTTTGTTGTTCTGGTAGCAGGTACTAACATTTCGCCGTAGCATGAATTTGGTGTGTGTGCAGTATTGTTAAATACCACAATTCCAATCTGTATAAACAAAGTATCTATTGAAATGGGCCTTAATAAAAGCCAAATTAGTAATGCCAAGGCAAGTACATGCACTTTTTATATTATACTAAATAGTCTTCTTTAAGGTCACCTTTACCAACATCCTAGAATGTCATTCGTTTACCATGCTTCACACATGAATTAATTTTGAAATATCCCTTTCTCTTTATATCAAAACCCAGGGTCAATTTCTTAAATTTGTTGTCAAGAGCGCATGATTTTATCCTGTAAAAATTATAATGTAAGCATTATTGTAAGAATTATAAAATTTCTAATATTTGTTGAAATTGTAAATCCTTAAATGGATAGGGCCAAGGGAAGGGTTCAATGGTTAAATAACAATTAATGGAATCCACCATCTAGTTCCAAGAAGTTAAATTATAAACATTGAATTAATACGAAATCAATATCATGTTGTTAACACAAACCATGGATTCTTGTGCAGGAATGAGGCGACAAATAATTATCCGATCCTCTATGTGGGGAATATCAAGGGAGATCAAGTCTAAGTTCAAGTAACATTGTATGAACTGTTTGTAAATTATTTGACAAAAAGCTTACAATCCCTTACGTAACATGAAATATATTGAGATAACTCACAGAAGCTCAAAAGTCCATTCAAACAATACAAATCAGGAGCAGAGTAAACATGGACCTCTAAAACATCAGAGGTGGGATCAGGTGCCATGGAGGAGTGAGCATCCCCTGTCGACCGGTCACACCAGCCGTGTGCTCCTTGTCATGATCGGGAAATAACGGGAAAATCCGTCGACAAATCAGAGTGTAAATAATGGTCTAACAATTAGTATGAAAAACGTCAGTCAGCATTTGACTTTGTGATAGATTGTAATTGCTGACAAGGTCATTGTATCGACCATAGAACTTATGACTTTAATGGAAACACTGTTGATATTCTTGTTTGACATGTGTTCTTTCAAGGTGATCTTTACAAAAATGTAAGACTGGACAGAACCTTCATTCAGATAGGCTCACTTGCCTCTTAGATCCTGGCCTTGATAGTTTTAAAATTAAAACTAGAGTTACTAAGATGAACATTAAAACCAATATGTCTCTCGTGCAAACTAAACATAGTGAATATCTACCCTGTCCTCTGGACTCAGTGTTTCCATAACAGTGATTACGGCTTGTCTGGCTTCATACAGTTTTAATCCCATCATTGAGGTTGAAACATCCAACACCACCACCACATCCCTGGGCTTATAAGAGGTGCTCGATACGTAATACGGTCTTCAAAATAATCAAGATAAGACAGCAATATAAAAAGTTGAGAGACAGCAGTTTTAAGTGGTATATATTCGGCATTGATATTACATGTATATATATGTGGAGCACAAGATTACCTGAACCTTGGATCGTAGCTTTCACAACCTACAAGCTTGGTCGCCGGATAGAAAAAGACCAACCCAGAATTTAGTCCAAGATACTGGTTTTGTATTATTCTGATAGATTTATGATTATTCATCATTTTTTCCAACACATCCTTAGTGGGATATTTCAGATCACTCGGGTTGACATAGCTTGGGTGGCTTACGCATGCCTCGTTCTTTGAAACCTATTTAGAAGAAATATTTTTGATTTTTTTTGTTGATAAATTGGCATATCTACCTTTCTAATAATCATGACTTCCATGCGCGGATCAAGAGGGGGCTCCGGACCCCCTCCCTCCTGGAATTTAAGAGTTATTAAATTCAGGTAATAGTAGCCAAAATTACCTTGGACCCCCACTAGGAAACACGGACCCCTCTTGAAATGGTAAGAAGAGTCATGCACAAGATGAAAATTAACTATAATTACATGTTTGTGTTTCCAGAAAGCCTGAATGTCATCTCTTTGGCATCAGTAATGTCACAGAATAAACAGTGGAATGTAACACTTTTTCTCAGCTATTACAGGCAGAGGAATTGTTTTTGAATGAGGTGGTGTAGTGAGAAAAAAAAATACAACTTACCTGCTCAAACTGCATGTGTCCATATTCAAAAATCCTATTTCGTGAATGGGGAGGGAAGATTTAAACTTTTTGACTTTTTCAATAAAAAAACATTTGTTGGGGGAGGATACGAATATACTGCAACAAAAAGTGGAGGGAAAGGCGGGGGCAAGCGGCCTTTCAGTGAACATTTGAAACAGTAAAAGGTTTAAATAAATTGGTAAGGGGTAGTCATCCTGATGACACGTGCCTGTAATATTTAACCTTTGTGAAAATAAATATTATTCATTTCAATATTTTTTTAGTATAATGTATTGAGAAAATGTAACCACTAAGCAGTATTCGTAAAATTTGTAAACAATTGTTATGCAAGACGATTGGTAAAAACTTAGCGTTTCTTGTTACTTTATTTCACAGCAGCTTACTCTGACAAAAGCCGAGAAGTTTTAACTTAACTTAAATTAGTGTTGCCCTCAATTTATTTTCAAAGATTTTCGTTAATCTTGTTCTTCTAAGTTCTTCTAAGTGATTTGGCCATCGAGCCACTGGGGATATAGAGGAGAAAATGAGTTACTCTTACATTAAAACCTTCTACTGTTCAGATTCAACTTTTAACAGTTTATATAATAAAAGCACATGTACACGCTACTTAGAACAAGATGTGTTTGTGAAACACTGATGCCTCCGTATGGCAGCTTATGGCGAAGGTTAAAGTTTCTCCAGGTCAAGAGATCAAAAATGTTCGTACCCAAAGAAAGGAATATACCTGTGAAATATGAAAGATCTAGCACCAACCATGGAAAAATTTATGGCGGTTAAAGTTTTTTCAAAGTAAGTAAAATGGGAGGGGAAAGGAAAAGTGGTGCCCAAGGGAAGGTCTTGTCACAAGTCATACACATCACCCTGAAATCTAAAAGCCTAGAAGCAAACGTTCAAATGTTATGACCAAGGTTAATTTTTTTTAAAAGTAGGTAAAACTCCAAGGTCAAGGTCAATGCCAAAATTGTTGGTATCTAAAGTAAGGACTTGTCACAAGGAATGCATATGTGAAGTATGAAAGCCCTAACACCAACTGTTCAAAAGTTATGGCCAAGGTTAATGTTTTTGAAAAGTAGATAAAACTGCCAGGTCAAGGTCAAAGGGTCAAAGTTGTTGGTATCTTAAGGAATGTCTTTTCACAAGGAATGCATATGTGAAGTATGAAAGCCCTAGCACCAACTGCTTAAAAGTTGTGGCCAAGGTTAAAGTTTTTCAACAGTAGGTCAAACTCCAAGGTCAAAGTTACTGGTGTCCAATGGAAGGTCTTGTCACAAGGAATGCACATGTGAAGCATGAAAATCCTAGCATAACTGTTCAAAAGTTATAGCAAAGGTGAAAGTTTTTCAAAATTAAAGTATGTCAATCTCCAAGGTCAAGGTCAAAGGGTCAAAATTGTTGAAATCCTAAAGAAGGTCTTGTCACAAGAAATACACATGTGAAATATGAAAGCCCTAGCACAAACTGTTTAAAAGTAATGGCCAAGGTTAAAGTTTTTTCAACAATAGGTCAAACTCCAAGGTCAAGGTCAAAGTTGTTGGTGTCCAAAGGAAGGTCTTGTCACAAGAAATACACATGTGAAGTTAGAAAGCCCAAGTATCAACTGTTCAAAAGCTATGGCCAAGGTTAATGTCTCATGAAATTTTGCAAAAGTGGGTCAAACTCCAAGGTCAACGTCAAAAGGTCAAATATGATGGTACACAAAGAAAGGTCTTGTCACAAGGAATACACGTGAAACATAAAAGCCATTTTGCGGACAAACAGACAGATAGACAGACCGCAGGCAGACAGACAGACGGACAGGGCAAAAACTATATGCCCCCGAATCTTCGATTATGGGCGCATAAAAAAGGTATAGAAAAGTGAAAAAGAAATACCATCAACGTAACTTTTCTTGCAATACACATATAGACTACTTTTAAACATATGGATTATTCAAAGAAATAACGCAAGCATGGATTTCTAGAACTAAGTATATAAACGTTACCAGCTAAAATTAAGCATTTACAAATTATCTGTAAAAGAGTCCCAATTTACCAACCCTGATTTTTAGGGTGTTCTAGGAAACAATCATTGTAATAATTTTGGCTTAATTTCAAGAAAAGGAGTTTGATAATGATTTGATAACTTTTTTGCCATTAACCAACAATGCAATTTAAAATTACTTCAAGAAAATGATAAAAATGATTGCAGGTGCTTTAATGATAAATCCTTAAAATGTGAGTCTGGTAAAGGAATTGCGTCTTTTATGCAGGGGTAACAATATTGTATTTCTGACATTGATTTTTTAAAGAGCAAAATAAGAAAGTGCTGACATGCGTAAATTAAAATACTCACAATGATTCTATATGATCTTTCTTCCAATTAATGCCTGTAGTTTCTTAAATCAGAGACATTTAGGTCTCTGCTTAACTTGTGCTTAATTTCTAAAACAAATTTTCCTTGAAATACATTCGCTGAATAACATTTGTTTTATTTTGAAAGTGGCAGCAAGTTAATTATTGAATGACTAAAGTACACATAAAAGAAAAGTTTTCGCCATCAATTCATACCAGTTGTATTTTAGCATTTAATGTTAGTATTTATGTAAATATTTCGTTTTTCTGTAAATTCTTTGACCCACGCCTTGGCTGAGTGAACTATTCGATGCCCTTTATAGTGCATTTTGATACGCATTTTGAAGACTTGAACCCCTACCAAAGCAAACTGTCTCTCGACTGTCTATGATTTCTATGTAGTTTTGTGAGTGTGTGTGTGTGTGTGGGTGTGGGTGTGTGTGTATGTGGGGGTGTGTGTGTGTGTGTGTGATGGCCTGTTTCGTTTGATAATTAGACATATTTCTCATTGTTTGAGTAGTTTTGTTTACATCTCTATTTTTAGAAATCGCGTCATTTGCCAGACCATCAGCTTATTGGCAGCTTACACTGGGATATATCCGGGTTTCAAACGTAATGTGTCATCTCTCTCTCGAGATGACAATAAGAAAGTTGTCTACATTACCCCCCCCCCCCAAAAAAAAAAAGGTTTTTTGGGATTGGGCAAGTTATTTACTTTTCTTTTTCTTTTAAATCTTTTATTGCCTGTCAGAAAAAATTCCTGTCTGACATTTGTTAATATAGAGTTGATGTAGAATCCCCCACCCACCCACCTGGAAAAAATTCCTTTATCCGCGCCTGTCTTTAAATATTTTTAATCAATAGTTATTTTTGCCTTTTCTGTAAGAGAATGATTTAAAGTAACTCAAAACATACAAACTAACGTTTGCTCTGAAATGTTTGTCAAACATATAATTCTTGTTAGTTGCGCAGCAGTTTACGTAAGGGTTTGATGACGTCATTCTGGTGAAGGTTTCATCAACACTTCGTTTTAAGATCAGAAGAGCACTGTTCATATCTTTAATGCGGTTGCCAATTGATTCCGCTATCTGTTTTAAATAAGAAAGAATGTAAACATCAGTATATTATAATGAATAGAATAATATGTTATGCAAAGATTATACAAAGACTCATATACATATCTATATATTCTAGTTTTATTATATATATTCTACACTATAAATAAATCTACAATATATATTCTTGTATACCGAAGTGATGTAAGGAATTAATCTAAAACAATAAAATGCTTTCTTGGTGAATACGGAGATAACGGTTTCACAATTGCGGAAAAAGTAACTTTACACAACCCGCGTAAGCGTGTTATATAATTTTTCAAACCCTGTTTTAACTTACTAATGACATTTATTTTATTGTTTATATTCGTATATGCATAAATTATTAGAATAAATTAAAGTGGGTGAAAGAATTAAACGTAAAATATTGTTTTATTGATCCGGATCCGTATGTCAGTAGATCTATGATAGAGCCATATTTTTAAGAAATCTATCAATCATATGGCGCTAAAAAACCGGTTCTTCTTGTGTTATTGTTTACTGACAGCGTGACAATTAGCTTGATGGGGCGTGCTAAAATTTTGTACATGCTTATTATCATTTTACTCATCGATTGGATGTTTGATTCCAATGGAATCAATAATATTTTGCATATGAAACACAGAATCCAATACCACTGATAATACTGACAAATCGTATTGAATGATTGTTCACTAGTAGTCTAATAAGCAGTAAACAACAATTACATGTGGACAGACAAAGCAAATTTTACTTCCTATAATGATGATATCAATAGCTATATAGTACAACAGTACAGAGTAGTCTTACTTATTGCATTCTTTAAATGTTCTTATAAGTATTTAAAACTCCATCCGGTCAAATCACAACATGCTTTTTTGAAGACATATAACGGGCTTTGACCACGTGTTGCTGCTGACTACAAATGCTGTACTGGTAAAGAAAATTCAATGTGATTGGCCAGTATTATCAGGGTATATTGTTGTATTCTGAGTTTCATATGCAAATTAGTATTGATTTTATTGGAATAGAACATCCAATTGATGAGTAAAATGATAACCAGCACACAAAATTTTAGCACGCCCCAACAAGCCAATTGTCATGCTGTTAGTTAAACGATAATATTTATTTTATTGTTTATCGATTGATAACGGCAATAGGTTTTTCAATAGAAACAAAGGTGACGTAAATATTGGGTACATCTATTCGACTTCCAACTACTTTCTTACACTTTGAAAGCAAAATACTTTTGGATTTATTTATTTTCCAGGATATCTTTTATTAAGCTCTCTCACCTGGTTTGTCACGGTTTGTCCATCCACTTTTTCCTCGTTGTAACTTAGCTCGTTATATTTTTCCTAAAATTTATATTAAACAATACTTCAAAAAAAAATCTCAAGATGAAAAAGGTGAAAATAAGAAAAATAATCGATCTCAACAAAATCTATAAACAATATAAATCTGTGAACAGGGCATAAAAAACGGACCCCCAGAAATTGCAAAGGTTGGGATCAGGTCCCGATGCGGGGTAATCATCCCCTATTGATCGGTCACACCCGTCGTGAGCCCATTGTTTTGAACAGATAGAGGGAACACTCCGTGGTCAAATTTAGTATAAAAACAAAGGCTTAACAATTGGTATGAAACACTCCAGCCAAAATATGACCCAAGTTAGGTTGTATTTGCTAACAAGGTCATTTAACAACTATATCATTTACGAAATGCTGACTTTAAGGTATTCGACCCATAACAGCCTCAGATTCAATGAAACTAAATGGATATCAGTATGTGAGAGCGGAATGTGCCCTAATTTATGACATTGTCATGTCCTGTAAGAGTTAACCCCCTTTGTTTCTTATCAATAAAATTCAATTCTAAAATATATATCGGTATCATGAAATAGTTTTTAATCGTTTTTCTGCTCCTTATGATTAAATTCATCTTTCAAATATTCTCATTTTAAGATAATCTTAGTATTCATTTTTTTTTATTTTCAAAAATTGACTTGTCCCCGTAGACCTCAATGCAATATTCTTTGATTAATTACTGCTTAGGTAATTACATTTTTGAAAAGTTCTCTTACTAAACTCTTTTCTACTCTAAAATGCTTTGAATTAATATCAGAAAATGTTATACATAATAAATATCTAAGGTTAGAAAAATAGGTCCTAAAGTGGGTCGGCTACCTTAAACGGGGTCCTTGAAATCCCTGTAAAATCAACTTATCTGTCAGTAGCCTGCTTCGGTTTTAAAAATTGAACGTACTCAGAGCATGCTTTTGAGTATCGAATACGTTGGGAGAAGTCAACACCATGTGCAGGTGATAGCTATAAATAAGGAAAGCTGATGATGGAAAAGTGAAGTCATTTTGTTTGTCATACAATTTAGCTGTTAGTCGGCCCTTATAGTCTATAGCCAGTAAAACATCCAAATATGATATATCAGCGACGTATTGTCAATTAAAAATTGTTATTTCCATTCGTTTGTCGATACGATATATCCCAGTGAGCTTGAAATAAAAGATACCACAGAGTCTGACACATCTGTTTCATATTTGGATATTTTACTAGAAAAAGACGTGAAGGGTAATCTAACGACCAAACTTTTTGATAAACGTGATGACTTTAACTTTTCAATTGGCAGCTACCCTTACTTATGCAGCAATATACCTATATCATCTGCATACGGAGTTTATATCTCTCAGTTGATTCGATACGCAAGAGCATGCTCTACGTATGAACAATTTCTAAAACGAGGTTAGTTATTGAGAAACAAGTTGATGAAACAAGAATATCAGCAGTCTCGTTTAAAGTCGTCATTTCGTTAGTTCTATGGTCGATACCATGACCTTGTCAGTAAATACAATTTATCATAAAGTCAAATGCTGACTGACGTTTTCATACAAATTGTTAGGCCATTATTTACACACTGAATTGTTAACGGATTTTTTCCGTTATTACTCTATCATGCCAAAAGTAAACGGCGGGTTTGACCGGTCGGCAGGGGATGCTCACTCCTCAGTGGCACCTGATCCCACCTAATAGACTTTTGAGCCTGAATACTGTTCGTTATCTCCATACATTTCATGAAACAAATTTGGCATACGCTGCGGTATTTTTCTTTATCTTTATCCCGAGTTCACTGGGATATATCAAGTCGACATATGAATGGAAGTAGCTATCGTTAATTGATAAAACGTCGTCGATATATCTAAATGTGAAATTGAATGCCAAAGCAAGTGGATTTTTTTTTTCTCGTGAAGAAGTTTTTGAATAAATTCTGCTCAAAGGAATATAAAAACAGGTAGGCTAATAAAGGAAAAGTATTAGTGCCGATCGAAATTCCAACAGTTTGTTGGAAGACCTGGTCTTTGAAGACTGTATATAAATGTTGTCAACGAGGAATTCTAGCATCTTTTTTATGTCAATTTCAGAGTACTTGTGTGTAGAATCAGAGTAATTTTTAATAGAGTAATTTTATTGATGACCAATCACAAGTTACGAAAAATTTTATTGAAAAAACAGTTGTCTATGATATCAAATAGCCTATTTTCTATTTATCGTGAGGAATGGTTGTATAAACTGTAGAAAAGTAGTGTATTTTGATGTTATTAACTTTATTAAAAAATAATTGAATTTTTCAAAAAGTTCTACGAAGTTTTTGGTACTGAAAGAGCAAACGGATGAAGAAAATGGGTTACATTCTTATTCTATATCCTCCAGTCTCCTCTCATTTGTTGTCAGTTATGAGTAGAATTCATGGATATTTTTTCTGAATTATTTCAAATTCTTAATGTAAAATTATTTACATTCTTTCAGAATTTCATATAAGATTTTCCATTTGCTACTTTGTATTGGTAAAGGAAAAGCACAACCAGGCAGAAAGAATCATTAACAAACATTTATTTCTTAAAATGTTGTTGAAAGGGGAGGAATAAAACAGCAAACAATAAAGCATACTTCATTAAACAATAGCACCGGTGTCTAGATTCCATTTGTTAAGGAAGAAGGATACATTGTGACTCTTTGCTTAAAATACAAATATATGTATATATTAACAAAAAATTCTTTTTACTAATGAGCTGGATATCATACCAAAGATATATAGATTTTCTCAATTTGAAAACATATTCAAAATTTCATGTAAATGTATGGAAAAATACTTTACAGGTAAGTATAAGCTTCGTCCGATTTTAAAGGTAACTTAAAATACGTCAAGTTTAAGGGGATTCGGCATTTTATAAGAAACGAAGCAGAAATTTTGCTCTTCACTTACCTGCATGAACTTCCAGCCCGTGGTCTCCACAAGTCTCTGTAATTCTTCTGCCAGAGCGGATGCGTTGATTTGTTGGATCTCCTGGGATTCTATCCGCTCCAAGCTTGAATCCATTATAACAATGCAGAAGACGATGCAAGAGAGAATCATGACCGGCTGTCAATGTTGCAGTATTGCAATAAAAATGAAATTTCTGATCCTTTCAAAATAATACTTTCTTACTTATAAAGCCATAAAGTAAACTATATGTTTATAAGATTTTCCATAGTTTCTTTAGATATTAAAATGGACGAAGACTTTAATTCGACTCTCTAAAGTTGGTAGTCAGAGGAAAAAAGACTTCCCTCTTTACTACCGGAATAAGGACGTCAGGGGTTTACACAAGTAGTTATTTGCAGCACGTCCTTTTATTCCTGAAGTCAGGATATCTATATATGTATTGGTCTAAGTCTGCATACCACTTCAGGATAATTTACCAGACTGTGTCTTGCTTGTAAGTTCCTGTAGGAGCTTTTCCCGCATTTAGAAGTATACGATTTACCTTTTTTTAAATAACCTCAAAATCAGACGTTAACATAAACATCTCTCTCATTCGATCGATCTCGAACGATCAATCTATCGATCAGTCAGTCAAAAGCACTTTATTATACATTCTGTATTTACCGAATAGTACCTTTTTTCGGATGCCAATGAAGTAGTAAGCCGTCAATAGAGGAAACGTCTCTACTACATTTTATTGATGTTTTAAAGAATTTCAATGAGAAATATATTCAATGTCCTCATTAAAACGGTTTGAAAATACATTTCTGAATTTTTCTAAAAAAAAAATCAACATTCAGATAATTAGCATTATATTATAAATACAAGTAAGATGAAATAATTTAATCAATCAATCGTATATTTGAAAAAATGACAATGGCATCCACCATTTTGTCTAATATAAACTATCTGAAATATGTTCTTCTGCTTGTCTGTGTCTTTATACTAAACTGAATTCATTTTCACCGATCAGGACAAACGTGTCTTTTTCCATGATATCTGACCACAGGCACTTGTTTCGGTAATGTTTTTTAACCCATAGTATAATAATAACACAAGGTATCTAGCTCCGAATTACATTGAATACCCCCCCCCCCCCGAATCGCACTCATTTACACTTTCAGAGGAAATACGCTGGCAAATTGTTATTACCATTGTCTTTTACGATAATTTATCTACACAACCATATATGGCATGCTTGTCTTTATTTTCTTTTATCTCCGTAAACAGCGTCAAAACTCTGCTCGCCGAGTGGAATAGTCGAATCACACCATGGAAGTACCTGTAGCTGACGTTTGAAACGAAACGAAATCGCAAATATTTCTTATTTGAGCAATTTAGATCCTCTTCTTTATTTGCCTTCCTTTAAGTGAGCTTAAAGATGTGCATTGTCTTTCAGGTTTAACTCTGATAGACTTTTGATGATGTATCGTTCATTTACCTTTTCCTTCGTTAACTGAAAATTGAAAACCTCTTAGAAAAAATAGCTTTGTGTAGGAAATTACATTGAATATTATAGCACTCGTAAAGGGAAGGAATATCTCAAGTTTTGCAGCACTTCTGATATTCCTTCACAACGTTACAAATAAAATATCACTGATATTCTTTCACATTGTAATAAAATACCACCTTTATTCAATAAATGAATAAACAGTATTTATCTAATATATATATACATGCACTGTCTATATTAACATTTCTTCACATAGGACAACTATGTTAGTTAAAGAGTTATTCTAAATCAATGTGCTTTAAAAATAAAATTTTAATTTCGTTGCAATGTGTATCGGTAACAATCCTCTAATAAAACTAATATATATCCAAATAGCTGTACATATATAGCTGGCAGACAGAGACGCGGAAGCTATATGACAGTCATTGGAGTACCAAACAAAAACATATGATCAATCCAATTAAGATTAGATTAGCTCCGCTTAATAATTTGCCAACTAGATCCTTCAAGAGGCGAAAATAGGAGTTGATCATTTGTAATTTAATTAAACTGACTGAACATACTTTAAAAGATTTATCTTTTAATTAACGCAGGAGAAATAACTCTAATGCTGAACATTATACGAATTTAGAGCTATTCGTTCTTCCTTAGTTTCTTTTTGTTCTCTATTTCTGTATCTTTTAATCTTGATTATTTCTTCTATTGGTGGAACAAATACTGAATAAATAGTCCCTAGCACAAGTATGATGAAGAACACAAGGGTATAGTTATAAAGCTGATCAGCATTCAGCTCCTCATACTGCAGCATTGTAGCTGGTAGTACAACAACTAACAAAACAGTTATCATTATTCCGACTACAAAGGCTATACGTTTTGACTTCCGGAATACGAATTCCATATCAGAAATGCATAGATTTCTACTTTGCTGGATATTTTTCAGTTCATCTTCATACAAATTTCTCCATGGGTTCAGAGGATTATCTATGAAAAACAGTTTTGCCCATTCTTCATCGATGTCGGCACTACTTTTAATGGAATGTGTAACCATGGAAACACATATAGTTATTAAAGTACTTGTCAGAAGCCCAGAAATACAGGAGCCAAAAAGGCTGTAGTCTGCCGATGTGTTAGTGAAGAAGTCGCTGAGACCCTCGTCGTACCTCGTCTCTGCTACCACCAGAAGAGCTGCTACAGAGGCAAGAGACCCTGATATCACTCCTAGAAAAGTAACGAAAAAGTCATTGAAATTACAACTCTTCTTAGAGATCGTGTATATAATTCTGGACTTAAATCTATGGTCTAAAATCTCTTAACATATGTTCAATTATCTTCTTTTCAAATTCTGATAACTGTTTGATGTGAAAACGATTCATACTCTGTAATTTAAGAACCTGTGAAAAATGATCAATTGAAATTGAAAAAAGAAATACATGTATGTGCAGTTTGTTGACTTGTCTATTATTTTATTGAAATCAACACAATCAACCACATGAACCATTATTTTCTTGAAATCAATCGACAGAGAAGGACAATGCATGTGAAAAAATATCTGCCAATTAAATATCCAATGAAATATCCATTATTCCCAAAGCTTACCTGAAATTACTCCTTTTGATGTACATTTACTCCATGTAAACGTCAATATCAGAGGGGATATAAATGGAGTCAGAAGCGTTTCCATTACGAAAGTTACCCAATTGACGTTTAGTTTTAACGATGTCATCAAAATTCCATAAGGTACAAGAGAAAGTGAAATCCAAATTATACACCAGCCTTTGTAGTCCTTCAGCATATCCTCATAATGCCTGTATTCTCCATGAACGGGACATTGATACTTGAGTTTAAAAAGGGGAGGATTTGACCTACTAAGGTTCACATCATCTTGACAATTCTGGCAATCAGAGGCAGGTATACAGCTACAACAAGTCACACCTTCTTTGGCATACTTCAGATTTCCACAGAGAGGACAAGACGAAGGAACGCATGTCTCTCTGGGAAAGAAAAAAAATACATATTAAACCTTTTAATCGCTGTGTAAGCAAGCCATGCTCTACATTTATCTTGTATACCGAGCTTAAATATGTACCTGAATGGACATACGTAAACTTTATATATGTCATATACCAGGATGGATGAAATTGCCATAATTTCACCTGATCCTGTCGCCATTAAGGCCATGAACACAATCATTATCAGTAGATATTCTCCTGGACGTCCTAGTGTGTCCTCCATCACCATTGGTGTCAGAAATCCTGAAACATATTTCATAGCCCTAGGTTTTTTGTATATATATACATGTACACTTTTTAATTTAACGCCAACCAGATAGTAAATAGTGTATCTTTCCATGTACATAATTTTCAACATGCACAATATACTTTTAAGTTAAACATATTCATAACTGTCAAAACAGAGATTTTAAGATATATCCTCAAATTATTTACTCTAACCGCATAAAATAGCCATGCAAGTAGTTGAATACCATTGTTAGTGTCCAGAGTCGAGAGCAGATATGATCCATTCTGGTAACTCATTGAAACATACGAAAGAAAAGATGGCAGTGATAGGGAGGTGGGTATCCCTAAATACAGAAAACACGCTATGAAAAATCCAGTTACACCTTGTTGTGGTTTTGTAGCTATTCTACTTTGCCACATGGCTTGATCACAACAATTTAAAGCCAACACCATGAAAAAGACGACAATGCCATATACTGCACCAGAAAACGATCGAAAAGTCAATAATGACTCTTTGGCGTTATTAGAAGGTCCCTTGACACATTTCACAAATTCATACATTGTTCTAATGTCAGTAGAATTATGAAGGTTGGCGTTGCTGTTTGGAAAAATAAACATGGATGTGAATATCACAAGAGCTACAAACATAATGCAGGTATTAAAATAGGAGATGTAGAACGCGGCTCCCAGTCCACCAATGAAACAGTAAGAACCAAACAGAAAAACCAAAAGAAGTACAGTCAATTCTGATGACATTTCCGGAACAATGCCCTCTAGCGTATAAGTTCCAGTCAAAATCATGGCCGTCAATGTAACTGCGTTTGTCAAAAGAGCGATGCAGCAGTATACAAGATGAGCTGATTTACCGTACCGAGCATACACAATCTGTTGAAAAATTAAAGACTAAATTCTTATTACACAGAGTGGTTTGTTTTAAACCACATAAGTATTTACATTAATGTGTTGTGAACTTTTTAAAGAAACGATGAAATAAATAACAAATACATCGTATAACATCAATCAAAAGTATACCTGAGGGTAAGTCTTCGCCCCTGGAGCTTTAGTTTTGAAATGAATGGTTATTATTGGGAATACGACCATCACCAAGGACAAGCCGATAACGAAGTACAGAATAGATCCGATCCCAGACTAGAAAAAAAATCATCAGTGAGATGACCACTGCATGAGGATATATTAGACTGAAAGAGGATGTGATGAATCGGGTCCATAGGAATAAAATTTCAGTTTTGGCTGCACAACCTAACAAAAATTTTTGGCGAAAAAGATCATCACATGTTTTTGAGGGGACACAACCGCAAATAGGCTCAGTTTCTCTAAATTAAAGTATATACTGGCAAAATTACTGAGGAGGCACAAGTAAATAAACTGTATTTTGTTTCAGTAAAGTAAGTACGGGCATATATAAAGTCCAAATTGTGTAGAAATCGGAATAAAAGGATTATAGGGTTCATCATGTTATTCAAGTAATTTGATGTCTTTCTTTTGCCAAATAAAATACACTAAAATTTCCAAATAAAAAGATGGTAACGAAAAGTGATCGACCTCTAAATTCTGTTAACGATACGAATTGTGAATAAGGCAAAAACACTGACCCTTGGAAACACCAGAGGTAGGATCAGGTGCCTAGAAGGAGTAAGCATCCCATGTTGACCTGTCTCATCCGCGTTTAACTTCTGTATTAATAAGGTAATTAGGGAGTTATTCGTAGACAGAATGAGAAAAAGACAATGGTCTTACAATTGCATGTCAATAAGAATAAGACCCTATGATAGGTTGCATTTGCAAACATGGTCATTATATGGACGGTAGAATTTGCAAAAATTGTCAAACTATGTGGTGTGTTAAGTGGGATGTATCGAATCATGCTGATTGAAAAAAGTTCGTTTGATCCGCTCACATAAATTAAATATGTCTTGTATAGCGAAATATGTGAGCGGATCTCGTATTTCTAGTAATCAGTAATACTAGTAATGGTATCGATGTAATAACTGAATGAAAATTAAATCTATTCAACAGATAAAAAGATGAAAAAGGTGAAGATAACTAACAGTGATCGATCTCAGAAATCTACAAATAATACTAATATGTGAACAGGGCATAAAACACAGACCCCAGGAAATTCCAGAGGTGGGATCAGGTGCGTAGTAGGAGTAAGTGTCCCCTGTTGACCAGTCACACCCGCCGTGAGCCCTATGAATTGATCAGGTAGACGGAGCATTCCGTAGTCAAATTAAGTTTTAAAAAGGCCTAACAATTGGTATGAAACACGTTAGCCGAAAAACGAGCCGTAGCCAGGGTGGCGTAGTGGTCAGAGCGTTTGCTCTAGAGTTGCAGAGTAAGGAGTTGATTCTTATGTCGTGGGTTCGAATTCCACTGCGGGACGTGGAGACCGGGTCTTCGGATGAGACCGTATAAACTGAGGTCCTGTGTCGCAGTAGGTGCTGGCACGAGAAAGATCCCTTACCGCTAAATGGCCCTGAATGCCGAGTATAGATCTTAATATGAAGTCCTCCACCGGCAAGTGGTGACGTCCCCATATGAGTGGAATGGTGGCGTCTCCATATGAGTGAAAAATTCTCAAGAGGGACGTTAAACAAGAAACAAAACAAACAAAATACGAACCAATGATAGGATATGTTTGTCAACAAGGTCATTATATAACAACCATAGAATTTTCGAAATGACTTTAAAAGAGGTTATTGAAATCCCTGTAACATCAATTTATCTTTCAGAAGTCTGTCTCGATTTAAAAAATTGATCCTTCTCATAGCTTGCTCTTTAGTATCGAATAAGGTCGGAGACGTAAACACCATACTCAGATGATTCTAAATAATGTTTTCACCATGGTTTCTAAATAAATAAGGAACGTTGACGATGGAAAAGCTGAAGTCATCTTGTTTGTCAAACAATTTAGTTGTTAGTTGGTTCTTATCATCTATAGTCGGTAAAACATCCACATATGAAACAGGTGTGTTAGGCTCTGTGGTGCCTTTAATTTCAAGTTTACTGAGATATATCGAGTCGACAAATGAATGAAGGGTAATGAATGTACATGTTCTAGCATGTAGGTAAAAGTCCAAGAATATATATTAAAAGTGAAAAGCTATATTGCAAGCAAAAAGGTAGGTTTATGATCGCAATTATATCAATAATCTTGAACCTTTAAAGCTATGACGGATGTTTGAATAAGGTCCACCGGCCAGAGGACTTGGGAGGCCACTGTGACCGCGGTCAAACTGGTGGTGACTTTTCCCCCGGCATCAAACACAGTATCCAGGCTGTGCTGGTCCCGGAAGACATAGCGATGAATTGCGTTATGGACGAGGGCCACGACAATAGAAAATCCACCAAACCCGAGAACAATCAGAAGACTGGCATCTATAGCTGATACTCTCTCGATGGATGATCTGAAAGAGTAATTATCTCCGATGTTTCATGCATATTCTAACTAGTGTATACATATACAATAAATAAAGCGGTGTACTATTTTGTAACGGCAATGGCCATTTTGAAAATATAGCGGTAATGTTATGCACCCAATGAAGCACATATCAAATTTCTAACATAGTAAGAAATTGTATACATTTTGTACTTTCTATGACGTTCAGCTTTCTTCCTTTTTGTCATGAGCCTTATAAATCCATGTATTTTTTTATCATATATTTTACTAATATAAACAAATAATTAGTTGTTATTTTTATGATTTTTGTTTTAAACGTAATTGTTTGTTGTTTGCATGTGTCCTTAAGTAAGCACATTTATGTAATATTTAACCATATGTAAGGTTTAATATCCTAGAAAAAGGCAACTACTCAAGGAATTAATAACATCCTACGAAAACATATTTTGAGTTTTATCGAAATGAAATAATGAAAGAAATCTAAATTGTATTAATAATTCATAGTAAAGAATATTTTGTTGAAAAACAGTGTCATTTTTATAGCCATTTCTTGGGGTTCAGAAAAGAAGGATTACTCTTAATAGGATAAACGTATATTATTCCTTTATAATTTGTCAGTAAATGTCTTTTTTTGTCCAAGTTTGCCCTTCAAATAAAAGCTAAAATTGTTCGCACTTTACTAATAAATATTTAATTCATTTCTTCTTTTAGAAAATCATAAGTGTTCAAGCAAAATTTGATATGAGTGAACAGGGGGGTTATGATCCTTAAGATCGATAATTTATAGAATACTGTAAATTAATATAATTAAATTCTCACCTGGATTCCAAAGGTGGCATCTCTTACCTCATTAATCAGATGATTATTTTGATGAAGATGATGAGGATGATGATGAAGGAGTATCAAAAATAAAATAAGACTAAGTCCTATATTTACCTTTCTTGACTAGACGTCTCTGGGGACGTAAGGTCAATTTTACACGATGCAGATTCCCCCATTCTCTTCTGAAGATCACAAGCCTTTGACGGCCGGGTCCTGATAAATATTTTACTACACCTATGTTAAGGTCCTGATATATGTTTAATTCCTCATTGTTCTGTAGGTGATCATAAACACTTAGGCCTTAGTTCGTCGATTTCTGGTATTTTTTTATAATGTCTGCTTACGCATCTGTTTAATCACCTGTAGACTTTTTCTCCTTATATAAAATAATTTTTAGATATTCAAAACCAGGCTTTCCATTTTTGTGTGTGTGTGATTATCCGTTTTAAGCAAGACCAACGATGTGTTTCAAACAATTTGTAGATCTTTTGACACAGATTATTGTATAAAATCTTCAGTAATGCAATGGAAAGTTTAACAGCAGGAAAAGATTCTGTATAACAAGGAAGTTCTTCATTAATTTCGACCTTAAATAGTTAAACATAACACCCTTTCTGGAGTTAATCCTTTTGATAAAATAATCTGCATGTACTTGCAAGGATATTACTTTTAAAGACCTTTAAACTGCCTATAGCCAAAGTTCAAGTGAGCTTTTCTGATTGAATAGAGGTGGTGTACTGCATGTCTGTAAAATGGTGTTTTTACATTTTTTTTCAAGTCACGGCTGCGACAATAATAGGTCGACATAAAATATGTAGTAACAGTTCATTTGCCAAGAGCTCTGTTATTTGGAGTGAAAGTTTCAGGTCTTTTGGACGAGGCCTTAAAAACTGCAGACCCGTGTAAGGCGTTGGCACACTTAAGATCCCTCACTGCTCAATGGCACTGAGTGCCGAGTAAACGTCTAAATTTGAAGCCCTTCACCAATATATGGTGAGTTTCATATGATTGAAATAATCTTTTAAGGGACATAAAACCGTAAAAACAAAATCAATCAATTAATCTTCTCAAGAACCGTTTAGCAATTTTAAACAAACTTGTCCACAAAGCGTTTATGTCTAAATAGTATTCCAAATGGTTTAAATAGTCAGCTCATCTCTCATGGAGAGATAATTAAGAAAATCAAAAAGAGGTGAGTCATTTTAAAACATTGACCACGATATATTTAAAACCACCCATTTTGACATCATTGTCAGCTGCTTTTTCAATAAAAATGGGACTCGTTAATTTACTTACCTTGTCACTGGTCATTTCAAAAAGTATTTCGTTAAATTAAATCATTCGGACTGTACACACAAGTACTCTGAAGTTGATATTAAAAAGTTGCTTGAGTTTTTAATTGACAATATCTGTATAGTTTTTGGAGACTAGGTCTTCCAACAATCAGTCGGAATTTCCATGGGTACCAATTGCGCCCCGTTATTAGCAGACCTATTTTTGTATTCAAATGAAGCAGAATTGGTTTGAAATCTTATGCATGAGAAGAAAACATATGCTGTGGCCTTCAACTCGATATTTAGATATATCGACGACGTATTATCAATTAACAATAATTACTTCCATTCATATGGCGACCTGATATATCCCAGTGAGCTTGAAATAAAAGATACTACAGAGTCTGACAAATCTGTTTCATATCTGGATATTTTACTAGAAAAAGACGTTAATGGTTACCTAAAAACCAAGCTTTATGATAAACGTGATGACTTTAACTTTTCAATCGTCAACTTCCCTTACTTATGTGGCAATATACCCTTATCATCTGCATATGGGGTTTATGTCTTTCAGTTGATTTGGTATGCAAGATCATGCTCTACGTACGAACAATTTTGAAAACGAGGCAAAGCTATTGACAAACAAGTTGATGAAACAAGAATAGAACAGCCTAGTTTAAAGTTATCACTTTGCAAGTTCAATGGTCGATACAATGACCTTGACAGCAATACAATCTATCATTAAGTCAAATACTGACTGACGTTTTTTTATACTAAATGTTAGGCTATTATTCACACACTGAATTGTCTACGGATTCTTGCTTTTTACCGATCATTACAAGGAGCACACGGCAGGTGTGACCGGTGGCCATTGGATGATCACTCCTCCATAGCACCTGATCACTTCTGATGTTTTAGAGGTCCGTGTTTGCTCTGCTCCTGATTTATATTGTTTGAATAGACGTTTGATCTCCATATTTAATTACAGGAAAAACATGGTCAGGAAATAGGAATCTTAATAACTTATTTTTTCTTTTTGACTGCAAATTTAAATTTGTTCAAATCATGGCAACCCCCCCCCCCCCACCTTTTTCCACACACAGAGACCCTGGGTTAGGATAGGACCTCAACTGGGAAGCCAAAACATGAATACGGTGTTCTGATAAACTCTCAAGAATAGCAAGACCACATTTGTTAATTTTCTATTGGTGAAACAGGAGGGTACTATAGTTTTACTCCCTGTCTGTCTTTAATCAGTCACTCTGTCTCACTTGGTTTCCTGGAATTTTTTCCTGCACGCTTGCATAGTGCTGATTTTTTTTTGTATTTGAATCTATCTTGATGAGTAACAGAATTTTGCGTTTCATTTTGCTTGGATTTTTTTTTTAAAGTACGATCAATACTGATAAGAGACTCACTATTACATCTGGATTGCAAGCTTGTTTAATGTCATATAAATATACAAGCGTTCCTCTTAAGTGAAGTTTGTTCAAATTATGGTCCTAGGGCTGAGGATCAATAAGAGGACATAATTGTCGTTAGAAAAGTACACGTTTAAACCATATTTCTAATTCTTCTCAAGAACAGCAGGCTAAAGTAAAGTAAATAAAAGTATCTCCATTTGGTGAAACTTTAAATTTGTTTTAATAATGGTCTCCTGGATCAGGATTTCGTCACAACTGGGTATCAAAGTTGAACATGCAAATTGATAGCGAATAAATATTTTAAAATCTCCTTGAGAACAGCAAGATCTCAGTTAGTCATATTGATGTGCTAGTATTCACATATAGCGTTGGCTTAACACGGGCTTTTGACCTAGGGTGGGTCATTCCTATAGGGGACACATAAATATAGAGGACTCAAAAGCCTTATGCTCTTAATAATCTAGGCAGGCCAACTTACAAAATCATGATCACTTTTCCAATAATATCACCAAATTAATTTCTTGATTTCCAGAAAATGAATTCCATGTTAGAGATGCAGATATTCTGATTTTCTGGGTGGTACTCAATTCTGGGTAGAGAGGATTTCCTAATCACCATCTACATGTATAACAGAACCAATTTTAAAAGTATTTATAGCCACGGAAAAGCATATAGTTATTAAGGTACTTGTCAGAAAGCAATAAAAATACCAGAGCCAATAAGAATGCGACTGTGTGGCCCTTTTCACAAAAAAATTACGTTTTAGATACAATTTTTTACAACTCTGTTTTTTTTAGTAGAGTACCCTGTATTTTCTCTAAAATATTATATATAAGATTATCTAATGTAAAAGAAATAAGATTATTCATGGCCTACGACAGCTTAGGTACTTCTTATCGAACGGGAAATTTGTCTTTGATGTAAGATTTTTTTGTTAAAAGAAACAATGATGTCACTCTTAGTGTTGTTTAAAAAGTTTTAACATTTTTTTTCATGAGAATTTTATATATTTTGCATTACAATTGATTAAAAAATGCTTGTTTGCTTTCACACTGAGGAGACTAATCAAATATAAGTAGTGTTCATACGCCGTACTCACAATTTCACAGAATTTGCATGTGAATTTTAACCATTACCATAATTACCCTTCCCGGTTTTATTCGACAATGGGAAAGACATAAACAGAATGTTAATTTACGGGAGTAATCATGTATCAGGAGGTATACTCTTTTTTATAGAACTGACAGAGAGGTAAGTCTGAAACACGCTTCTACTTCTGGTGCTTCATGTAAAGATAAACAATGCATGCAACAACTAAACAATGTGTAACAAAGATTTATGTATAAATCTGGAAATTTTCAAATAAAGATAAAAGAAGTCAAGAAAAAAAAAGTGAAAGTAAGGAGTCGATTTTTTTTTACCAGTTAGCTTTACAAGACGTACAAGACAGATCATCGAAAATCTGCAGCAAAGGAGAAGAAACGACAGTGAAGCTAAAGAATAACCTTAGTTAAGAATTCCTTGTCATGCGGAAATCAACATGGCATCTGAATGGATAACAGAGCAGGTGAGTAAAATGTACGTGACTTACGGGTGCAGTGAATAATATTACAGGTTCAATGACATTACTCTCGAATGAACCCAGTATATAGGCGTTCACGCTGCTGACGGTTCCTTTTTTCTTTACTTTAGATGCCTGGTCACGCATCTGTCCGATAAAGAATTGTTTTCCATCACAACAAACAAAGTCAAGAGTAGGATTTTTATTGTCTGTTTAAAGGAGAAATTCAAAGGCAGTTCAGCCTGCTTCATAAACAATATAACCGATATAGGTCATATGTGGGAGAGAGGAGAAAAATAAGAGAACAAAATAGATATTATATCTATAATCATCACTGTTCGTTATCTTCACTTTTTTATCATTAAATCTTGACTTACAATGAAAGTGCGCATTTGATTAACCCGATTCATAAAAAGAATGCTAAAATTTCATGTGACAGCTCAAAGAAATTTTCACTTTTCAACTGCGCCCAGATTCCAATCCCTATGAAATGGGGAAGGGAAATATTTTTCCGATATTGTTTTTTGTCTTGATTTGCTAAAACAAATAGAAATATAGCAAGATGAGTTATTTAGTGCAAAATGTTACATTTTTAAACACGTTTTTCTAATCTCTGGGTCTTCTCTCCACGATTTTAAAACGTTATTTGTGTGCATTTTGATTCAAGGAAACGAACAAATATTGTAAAAAAAAAAAAAAAATGGAGAAGTCCCAGATACCATAAAATGATTTTTTCAACAAAAAAAAATCCCATTCTGGGGTAGACTTTACTTTACCGGTCCCCAGATCCGCAAGATCCGCGCGCTCATTGCACTATGACGTAAGATTTACGTCACTCAACTGATAAGGGTTAGTCTTGCACATTTTTTGACTGGTTAGGGTTAGTCTTGCACCCACCTGAGAGATTAGGGTTAGTCCTTGCACAAGTTTTCAACTGATTAGGGTTAGTCTCGCATCCATCCGAGAGATTAGGGTTAGTCCTCGCAAATGGGATAG